CCTACACATCCACTGGCACAAGCGCGGGTACACAACATGGACAACCTTCATTATCGAGAAATCCTGGATTGTTCTGGCTGTTTCGGACTAAAAAAAACTCAAAATAAGCCATGAATAGGGAGGGGGGACTACTTTGCCTATAGTGCGAATGCGTCTCTCTCTCTCTTCATCACCACCTTTGGTTTCTTCTCCACACACACACACACACACACACACACACACACATTCACCATTGCAATCACCACTGATTAACATGCATCATTGTCTTTAATTATGATGTTTTGCCTCAGTTTTCACTACATTATTGTTAAAATTACGTTTAAACTGTTTGTTCTCTCTGTTTGCCGGTTGTGACGAATTCTTCTTTTACTGAATTACTGAGCTTCTCTCTCTCTTTCTTTCTCGACCTCTGAGGTATCCTTCAGATAATGTTGAATATTACAGTTTACAGCTGCTCATTATCACATCTCTCCATCACAGCTTACAATAACTCTGCTTCAAAGTGTGACGATGCTTGTACCCCACATCACTTTGTTATTGACTGATTTCAATGAGTCTTTTTTTTTCTTGTCAGATTTATCATCAGTTTTGTAGCATTTTGCGCCTTTTTTAAATCACTTTTTATTAGTTAAAGTTGTGTTTTCTGATGACCGTATTAGTGTCTGCTATGCACATTTATCTATTCCTATGAAAAGTTTAGCATTTTACCTTTTAGTTTAATTAGTGCTGCTTATATATAAAGCCATGTCCTCCCTTCTTACTGTCACTCTAACAAGCTCCATCATCAGTCTCCAGTATTTAGTGATAAACTCTCTCCCAGTCTCACATCTAATCAGAGAAATGCTTAATTGAGGTCCACTCAGTCAACGTTAAGGAAGCTACTGAAAAATTGGCAGCAGGCGCGTCATGAAAAAAAAAATCAATAGTTAGAAAGACCAATAAGGGATTTAGAAAACAAATTAAATCACAGAAATGGGTATATCCAGTATTTGAGAGAGAGAGAAAAAAATCATTTTCTCTGCTCGGCTAGGCAGCAGCCAAAGTGCAGGAGCAGAGCAGTACAGAAAATAACCACCATAAATCAAAATGGCCCGATGCCCACTCTGCTGTCCAAACGCTCCTGCCAAAGACCAGCTCCTCTGATGCCACTTTCCCTCAATACGAGCTATTCAGGCCGACAGAGAGGAAGAGTTACAGCTGCTGACAGCTGCCGCGGCTGTCACAACCACCGCTTCATCACAACAAACACAGACGAAGAAATCAGAGAGGACGACACCTCCGGACTCATATTTATTGTATATTCAATCGAAATTGGCTTTGTGTTCAAAATTAGTTATAGGTTAACGTATTCCACCTACAATATGCTGGGTATTTAGTCGATTTTATATGGTTTAGTAATTAATCAATGCTACTTTGGTTGCCCAGAGGAAGACTGGGAACAGTATTGATTCAGTTGCAACATTAATCTGCTGTGATGTAGTTGGCCTCTCGATAAAGGATAGTCCAGCTCCTCAGTGTATGACCTGAATAAATATATGAATGAAAATAGCACCAGAATAAGAAAATGAAAACATGACTTTGTTACTTACTTTGTATAGATTTTTTTTTTTGCACTGTAATATTGAACTTAAACACAAATGTGGAGTCTATTCCGCAAAACTTTGTCATTATTAATCTCATTGTATATGCTAGAAATCATTAGAGGCACTATTGTCACAATACGCCCTCAAATATAAGCTACTATTGAGCTAACTACATGCTACATTTAGCTTAAACTGCCAGTTCATCTCGCTTTGATGCATTGGCTGTTCACATGTATTTTGAACTCCTCATAACATGTGTGTGAAGTTTCTTGTTCTAAATGCACTCTGATCCTGTATTTGATCATGTCTGTAAACCCCTCTATTTCAGCCCTGCTCAGAACAGGCTGTTTCTGTGTCTGTACCTTTAAATATGTAAATGAGCTGTGTCTGACCACGCCCCCCCTGGAAGGGCTTGAGTGGCTTTGGCTTTCTCGCTCCATGTCCTATTGTTTACGGTGAGAAGGCAGACTCAGAGGGCAGAACAAACACCTAGTTGTGGGAGTGTCACCCACCTGGGGGAGGGGCTACTGCCCTTTGTGATGTCATGAAGGGAAAATCTACAAATGGCATGTTTGAGCACACATTTTCTGAAAAATGGAGCAGGCAGAAGACGGAGAGGATGGACTTTTCTCATCATTGGGGGGTTTGTAGACGGAGACACATATTGGAGTTAGAGGAACATGGTGAAGTTTATTTTGCATAATATGTGACCTTTTAACTTATTTTATCCATTTAAATTGTGAATACTTGACCCTGACTATTCTGACGATTCTACTGACATGACTTCTACACCATACTTGTTACACTTGTGATTTTCTTGCAACATCAACTCAGCTGTTCATCATGAGAAGTCTATTAGCCGCTCCAGTCTAAGTCGACACTGTGGTGGAAGGCTTTGATTTTTCACCCATTTGCTGAATTTTACTGATAGCAGCTCAATGCAGAGAGAAGAAAAGACAAGAAAGATAGGAAGTAATTAAGTGAGTAAGAAGAAAGGGGTTTCTGTGCAAAAAAGAAACAGTGAGTTCTGATTTTGTACTAATGATGTAAAAATGAATGAATCATGGAGAAATACATTTGAATTTCTAAGTAGCAAACAACAGCTCCAGCATATTAACTCCTCAAACAGGAGGAAATAAGCAAACAAAGGACTTTTTATTTGTAAAATGTGATAAAATATCTACAGGAAAAGGAAGCTAGAAACCCCCTCACAAGGCTAGTATGTATGAAGTGCAAATCTGCAGAAAGAAACTGTTCAACTGTTATGGTCTTAATATGGTTATACCTCATGACCACCAGAAGTGCACACTCACTGCAGGAAATAGTGTGTACGTTAACTGCTTACACCCAAACTGCAAGCTAACGCATGCTAGCACAAGCTAAGCACTGGTGTTTGGCACTTACCTGTCCAACAAAAAGCAGGTCAACTCTGATCTGTCTGAGTGACGACAGTCATCTGTTCCTGCAGGGGGCTTTGGAGTCCCATCGAAATCCCATCCCATTCTGGAAATGCTAAGTTTCAGTCAACCTAACGAACAGGCTGAGAGCTGGAGCTGAGGCGGGTTTTAAGCCTCTTGACACACCGTTATGCGGCGCCCACCTGTCAATCATGTCAGCTACACGCCTTATTGTGAATAACAAAACGGATGAACTGATGAGTTATCAACAACTTCAATCCCCTGTGTGCCGATCGAGAGATGAGCTAATCAGACCAATATCGTTTTTTGAACAAGGCTGTAAACGTGTTAATTTCTGCTTTAAAAACTGCTTTTTTCAATGGGTGTGTATGTGACTTCTGGTGCTTCTACAGCCAGCCTCTAGTGGACACTCGACAAACTGCAGGATTTTACACTTCTGCATTGGCTTCACCTTTCAACACCAAAGGTTGCAGCTTTGCAAGGCGTTGTTTATAAACCAGACCCCTGGTTATACAATGCCATATATTTAAAAAAAAAAAAAAGGTTTAGTTTGTTTAGTTTTGTAATCTTTCAATTTTCATTCGCCTTTCAGCTCTGTTTTGGCCTCCACCAACGTGTGGCCCCTCTCACTTCTGCATGTTGACTTTATTCACCCTCATAATAAGATTATTTTATAATTAACAAAACAAACTGATTTAAGCAGCTTAACGCTCAGAAACAACAAGTTTTTGGATGCACACTCTTGGTCTGTTTGTTAACAATATGCTGTAGAAATAATTACAGCTTTCTGAGATGAAAATAGATGTCAATATCTCGCTCACAGAGAACAGTGGGATGTGGTAAGTTGCTGTTCCACAGTCTTTTTTGCCAGTGTGTGTGGGCTGACATACTGTACGAGTTGCTGTTTGGAAAAATGTCCCTCTTCAACAATCATTTCTTTGATTCTTAATACCAATCCAGCCACAATATACCAGACCAGTTCAGCTAAACTTTAAGCAAATGTGTTGCACATTCGTAGTTCATGTTCCTATATGTTTTGATATTTTGTTTGTGATTTTTATCTCTCATGCTGTGTTTTTGCAGATCTAGTGCACTTCTGTATTGGTATCTGCCTTTCTGTTTACATGTGGACGTGTTTTTCTATTGATTGCTTTTCATTTATTGATTCGAGTGGAAGCAGCTGAATGTTTGGCAGCACTTTGAGTCCAAGAGAAATTTCCCAAGGGGACAAAAAAGTGTATCGTATCTTCAGGGGCGTGTCCAGACTTTTTTGACTAGGGGGGCCAAACCGGGGCAGGGGAGGCCGGAAGTGTGATGTGCACACAAACACAAAAAATATAAATTATTTACGCTTTCTAACTTCAACAATAAAATCTACAATATAACGCAAGATAATATGTAATTTTTAATGATGCAAAAAGACGATTATGTTCAAAGTCACAATTTAACGTACTTAAAAAAATTGCATGCAAACTCCTGCACAGTCTAACTTGCAAAAATACATAATTTGGTATGAACATGTTAGACAGAGTAAGTATGACAGAGTGCATCACTTTCCTAAGCACCTGTTTCAAGAAATAGGTGTGCCAAGTTCTTATTTACAATTTAAGTAAATTCAAGTACAAATAAGAATATTTTATATTGATATGTAGACAAATACTAAAAAAAGCCCTGATAGTTGGTTTTAACAATAATCCTGCCACTGGCGGGTTAAGGATTTTTGGAGGGGCTAATCAGGGGCCCATGTCCCCCCTGGCCACCCCCCTGGACCCTGCATATCATATTGTTTTGTATGTTAAATTTAGATAAAGGTAGGATGCTGGCTTTGATATAAACCCATACTTAAGTTTGATTCCTGTGTGGATAAGTTACCTCGTTTCATTAAATGTATAAAAAACAAAAGATCTGCTTCAAATTTCATGTAGACTAAAATGTATTTAAACGACCCCTTTACAGGCTTCAAATTAACATCATCATTGTCGTCATCAAGATGGCTCACCTTGGCTTTGTTAATGGTGCAGTGCAGTGCATTGTTCTCCTGGTCGTACTGCAAGCTGAACTCCAAGGTCCCCAACGTAGCTGTGAAGACAGAGAAGCAGAGCAAAGAGAGATGGAAATTTAGAATCTTAAAAAAGGAAAGAAATCTTCATGGCACACGAGAGCATCGCTGGGGGAGAGAAGAAAAGCCCCAAACCTGCATGCTTTCTTTGTTTGAAAGAAGAAGTCCTAATGGGAAATCTGATGGTATTCCTGGCACTGCCTTTAAAGATTTAACTGCATTGATATTCTACACAGAGATAAACATATAACCAATGGACATTAAGAAGATTGCTTCATGGCGCTTTGAGTTCTGTGCTGCATCAGTGTTTTTCTGTCTCCATCTGTCTCAATTTGTCGTGCACAGGCTTAATTAACAAAGTGCATGTGTGCCTGTATAAACAACTAAGAAGATCCTACAGCTATAGGATCTTGTATAATGTCCCTCTTTTTCTTTGAATCACTTGAATGGCTCATATAGTCTGTGTATAAAGTCTCATCTTTTCAATAACATTGCAGACATCAGACTGTGTGGTTTGTCTTGCATGAGACTTTATATGTTGCCGTAATTACACAAGCTGCTCCTCTTTTTCAATATTTCACTTGGCTCAGGGCTCAGTTGTGTTCATGTTTGCTACCATTTTAGTGAGCTGTAAATGTATTCAAGTTGGTCATCCAGTTGGAGACGCTTCTTGGTCTCGTTGGCTATCAGGTATAGTCCGTCAGAGGCAGCCCACAGATCACGGAGGCTCCGACTTGATATTGACACCACAGCCATTGATTCAAGATTCAAGATTTTATTTGTCACATGCTCATACAGATGTGCAGTGAAATGTAAAAGACGATTATTTGGAGAAAAAAATCAATTGCGACAAGCCTCAAATTGAGCAATCGAGTTTTATTTTGAAACTGACAGGATGCTCTGTGTGTTTCCTTTGTCTGACCATTGGACTGTGTCGTCCTCACAACCACCGCCGTTCTCATTCATGCACGACCTGCTCTGTCCTCCACCTCAGCGGCGAGGACGTGTGGACTACAAAGAAGAAATCCTTCCTGCATATTATCCCATATGCTCTTTTTATGAAGCGTCTGGAGATAACACTCGTTAGGAATCCGTGCTATACAAATAATGATTTATTGACTTCCTGACCTACTATGTTCAGCTCGTATGTTGACTCGAGCGGCAGCAAACGGCACTGTATAGTGCGCGATGCTGACCGGCCGCGGCGTGTACGGACTATGTGGAAATTGGCAGTAAGATCCCATGTAGGGTTCAACATCGATATAGAAATGGGTCAGATGTTTTCTTTGGTTTGGCTCTTGGTGATCTTCAGAGGTTTGATATTTCTCCCCAGGCTCTTCCACGTACTTGAGGGGAGCCACTCAGTATTGTTTACCTCCCGGACGGAGACTGAGACCCTCTTCACCCTTTTTTTCCCTTGTAATTAAGAAGCTCTTCTTAAAACTCAGGGGACAAATACATCTCTTTGAAGCATCACATTTTAAAGCATGATCTCATCCTTTGTTCTTTTCAAAGCGCAGAGTGACTCTGAGCGACTCTCTCATTTCCTGGATTGATGAAATGTTGTTTCGGAGGCATTTCAACAGCATAAAAGGAAGATGTGTGGGATTGTTGGGGCCAGATGACACCACAGTCTTTGCTTCATTCACACTTTTATTTTCATGTGAGACGTGAACAACATTATTTTTATGGACTCCTTATTGCCCACCCGTCTCCTCTATTCTCCATTTCCTCCTCAGAGTCTGAATGAAGGGAGATGACCTTTTAGTTTTTAGTTTCAGTCAAACACTTTGATGCAGTTTGAAATATCTTCACAGCTACTGTAGGATTTCTTTGACTGTTGTAATGTACAGTGATTCATCGTGCTCAGAGTATAAATCTCTACGACTTAACCCCCTCATATTTCCTGTGAAGCTAATCTGATGATGTGGCTCAAAGGATATCTCAGCACCTGTTGGGTAGTTACTTTCAATTCAGTGCTTCATATTTTTAAGCTTCTGTACCTGATTCGCATCCAGAGGACAACTTGAAGGTGTATTTTGAACTTTCCAGGGCAGGGCAACTTTTTATACACCAAATAAAGGTTAGTGTTGTCGCCTCACAGCGAGGAGGTTCCTGGTTTGAATCCCTGTCCTTCAGGAGCCTCTCTGTGTGGAGTCTGCATGTTCTCCCCGTGCATGTGTGGGTTCTCTCCGGGTACTCCAGCTTCCTCCCACACTCCAAAGACATGCTCGTTAGGTTAACTGGTGAATCTAAATTGCCCATGAATGAATGTGACTGTAGCTGGTTGTCTGTCTTTATATGTCAGCCCTGTGATTGGCTGGTGAACAGTCTAGAATGTAACCCCACCTCTAGCCTAATGACAGCTGGTATCAGATAAAGCCCCCCTCAACCCCGAACGGGAAATGCAGAATAGATAATAGATGGATGGAAAAGTCCTTTGTCAGGCTGTCAAAACATTATATTGATTAGTAAGGTTACAGAAATTTATGCAAATTCATTGCAATCAGACATCCCTGATCATGTCAAGTGCAAGTCTGCCTCCATCGTTTCCTTATCTTATAACCTTGAGGAAAAGTGTGTGAGATGAATAAGAGACCGTGGTAGGAGACTTAGAAATAAGTCTGACATCAAACCTTTTTCAGAGGCCTGATTCAGAAATGTATTTTCTTGTTTTAGTTCATACTAACATAACCATGCGGTGTTAAGGAAGTTATTTAATTATAAAAAGCGACTCCTTAAGAGTCTTCTAGTGATTTTTTATGATCACATTGATGACTACCCAAAGAGCTCCTCAGTTTAAGTCTGGGCAGAACTCCTCCCCGTACATATTTAAGTAAGCTATATTGAGCTCTTCAGCTTTAGAGGTACGGTTGTCTGAGTGAAGACAGCTCAGCTGTGTAACAGGTGTTTGAGGAGGAGGATGAGGCAGTGGAACCAGCGGGGAAGACGAGGTGAGAGAAGAGGCAGACTGAATCTCTAAGCCTGGAAAGGGCGAGACTTTGGTGCCTCGCTTGAGGAAATCTCGACAGCTGTGATGAACGGATTGATATTTGGAGAGGTATCAAAGCTGCGGTCTGGGAGTCACAGCCTCATACTGAATTATTCAGGTGCATAGTGTGCATGATACAGATTTTACAGGTACTAAAGGCAATTTCTTTGCACTTCATTGAACCCAAAGTCTCCAGACTTTAAAAACAGATCAGTCCCAGGATAGCGCAGGTTTAACCCTAAAAGCCGTCCTGATGATTCAAACCGAGATCTCCATCCACATTAGTACCTCTTAAATGGACTCAGAATCAATACTTGGTTTCCTTCCAAAGTGTCTAAAGTCTCTTTGTGTGATTTTAGTAGTCTCCTCTTAAGCAGTGAATCAATGCTGCTGCTGCTGCAGAGAAAGCTGAGCTCATCAACAGTGACTGCAGCGCTTCACCACTTCCACCTCCACCACCTACTCACTCGGAGACGAGGAAGACATTCAGTTTTCTGCACAGATTTGTTGATATTGTGCGACATGATTAATGGGTACTGTTACACAAAGTTTTACAACACTGTGCTCAGTCGCTGTTTGTTGCCAGAGTGCGAAAAAAAAAAGCACAAAGCTTCAACAAAACAAATCCATCCTGGTGTCAAACTTTCTTTCTCATCTATGATTGTCTCAATAAACCAGATCTGATGTTATCCTCCCTCCTAACTCAGGCCAGTTTTCTCTAAGACCACAAATGATAACTTAACCTGAGCCCTGAAGCCAAACACAGATGGCTCTGCGATGAGATCTGAACCTGAAAAAAAAAAGAGCGAACCAGAAAAAGTTTGACTTCTTTTACCCCGCTGGCAGCGAGGCCTCGGGATGTTGATGCCACATGGTCGGCTGGTCCTTCCATGCAGCACTTTATGCCCAGTTGAGAAATATCTCAACAAATAGTTGGCAGATTCTCTGCTCTCTGGATGAATCATTTGTTGACTCTCCTCAGGTCTGCAGGAAATCCAGAAAGAGGCACACGCACTACCATGAAATTGAAAATCAAGGCACATTCATGCTCCCCAGAGGATGCCTCCAGCTCAACAACAAAACATCATCAAATAGAAACTGTGTCGTCTACATCGCTTACTGCTGACACACGCCAGGCTGTAGTAATGGTGTCATGAACGGGAAAAAACTAAAAGGACCCAGATGCAGATTTAAGCCAAACAGCAAACAAAAACTTACTATCATTGAAATCTAAAAAGTCCGACTGAAAGATCAAAAACAAAGGCAGCAAGAGGAGTCACAAGGACAACATGACATGAGGCAACTAACATACAACAATGATATGACACAGAAGGGAAGAAACACAGAGACCAACAAGACACAGGTGAAGACAATCAGGGCAATCAAACCGGAGAGGAAACACACAGAGGCAGGAAGGAACACAAGACAAGAAACAGTGGAGACAAGAGCTGCGATCTAAAACACTAAAGACACAGAGAACTGAAGAACAAAACACACTAGAACATAGAGAGACATGAGGATAAGAAATGACAAAAATAAAACAGGAAACACTGAAGACTAAACTAGGAAACCATCGACACTAGGAAACATTAACACACAAGGGAAACTGTCATGATTCAGTCTTCAGTTTGTATTTTGTCTATTTCAAAGTTTAGGTTTCCTTGTGGTTATTGTTTCCCTTGTGTGTTTTTTGTCTTATTGTTCCATAGTTTGTTCTTTAGTGTTTCCTGTTTTAATTTGTAGTTTCTTATCCTTGTTTGGCCTTTTGTGTTAAAATAAATAATTTGTGTTAGTTCCTGCAATTGGGTCCACCTCTTTGTTTTCCAACCGTTCATGACAGAAACGAGCAACACCAGGATATTCAATACCAAATAAGGCAGAAAACAACAACTCAGCAACACGAGGGAAAAATGAGAAATGAAAGGAAATCTAAACTCTGAAATACACAAAAACTAAACTAAGACTAAATCATGACAAATTGCTGCAGTCAGTGTTTCTTAATGTACTCAGTTATACAGGTGTTACTTT